AAAGGCTACGCTTTGCTTCCTCTGACGTCTGGTTACCGCTTCCATTGGTGCACGATGTATAATACATCCCGGCGACCCACTTTATGGTACTCAGCGCCCTTGTTAGACACGGATAATACAAATATTTCGTTGTGATTATGTTACAACCGTGAGCACCGAGCTGTTATTGGAGTATTAGCAGAAATAATAGGGTAGACAAGGCGATCGTTTTTGTGATCAGGGAAATCAGTGGTGTGTTATGTAAGCAATAATCCTATAGAAGCACTCTTCATAATAATGTGCGCCCAGGACAGCAAACGTGACGGTGCAGGTAATTATTACATTCGAGGAAGGAACTCCAAACATCATTTCTAACCTTTTTGATGATTATAACCAGAAATAGGGGTTTGATGCTAACAGTATTGATGTGACAGAAACATACCCGGGTAGGCGCGTTCATGAACTTTTCCATATAATCCAACATTTCCAGATGGGGCTCACTGCAAGATTGCCATAAGCTCTTCTTGAAGTTCGGCGATTCTTTTTGACGAAGATCGAATGGCCTGTGGTTATATGGTTTCAAATGGAGCGATGCTTATATAATCCCTAAACTTAATTATATGATAGACCTGAAAACGAATTTCGACGGGTACAATTAACAGCTTTTCATTGTCAGAAATTGCAGCATGTTCAAAATATATGCATCGTACAAGCGTACATAGGGGGGCGTAACATTCGCGAAAAGAATACCTCCAAATGTGATCAGCTTCGCTCCTGTTGAAGCCAAGGCAGTCCGGGTAATAGACCATTCCAACATCGTAGTCTTGCGCAATCATGGTCTGCAATTTACCTCTCTCAAATTGCTTGCATACTGTACGGAATTCTGAAGAAACTATATCAAATCATACTGCTACCAACTGCGAGCCGTAAAAAAATAAGCTATTATCAAATCTTGCATGACATTTGCCAACTTTCTTTATCATAGTATCAGGCCTTAACCTTTGCGCTTCTTTGACCAGCACATCCCCCTCCCCAGCCCTGTTCATTCATCGATTTCCAAAGGCGCCGAGCAAACATTCTCCATTTGTCACATGCGCAAACGTCCAGAGAATTCTTGCTGCCTCAATCAACAAAGCCCTCATTCAGTCGAAGTAGTTTGATCACCGGAGTGACCGTACAGATAATTGTTTACATCCCGCTGGAATAAGTAGGTAAGTGCTCTGGTCCAACGGTCATCGCAAAATTGCATGACGTGTCCTACCCACCTAATTCCTGATTTCGATTTCTTGGCCAAAACGACAGCGTCGCTGATTCTCGACGATTGACGGAGTACGGACTTCCGGATTCGTCTCCAACACTCGCATGTACTGAGTAACTCCAAGCATCATCCTCTTCACAGCGCACTGAATAACATTTATCGCATACGCGTCCTGCCTGCGAAGAGTACAGCGATACCTTTTCCAAAACGGATGCTTATGTGCTCAAAGTGACAGACCAGTACAACAACAAGTTATACGAGTCCTCCACATGTGCGAATTTTACGAGTACGCTCCTTCGATTCACGGTTCGTCGGTGGCTCATTCGAATGAGGGCTGGTTTGTATTCAAAGTTGGTCCACAAACCTACCTCGCTAACCACAACTTTGATGCGCGCCGACGAACATTAGTGGGACATTCCCTAAGAGTTGTTAAGATTCAAAGAGATGTGGTTTGAATGCACATGTTCTGAGTTAGAATGAGCTCCAAACACGACCACGTAATATCGCCATGTTCACGTTGGTGTCATTGTCCTATGGTTTTTGAACTAGCATCCAGAATATCTACACGCGGTGAGAAATGCGGTGCAGATTGGCAACCAATTCACACTGGTATATTCTATGTATGAAGTTCAGGAAGCTCTGTCGTTTTCCAACCCCTAGTTTTAAATGCACGTATCTGTATCTCTCGGCTTAGACCGAACCTTTCAAATTGAGCCTCCATTCGAAAGCGCGAATCTTTTTCTATAAGAAGCCGTTCAACTGGGTACGTTTTTTGGAATGCTGGACCTCTGGAGGCGATGAACTGAGGGAAGGTCGTTTTAGCATCATGTTGGTTTTTGATGTATTTCTCTTCAAGGAAGCTATCGAGACCCTTGAAAAAGTGGCAGTTGATGGCCAGAGGTTATACTGAGTAGGATATCTGCAGCACCCCTCCATAGCGTAGCTGGTACAGCTTGTGCAGGGTTGGTTGCGCGATATGCGTGTAAGCCAACCGTCAGAGATGGGTTCGTCCCTTTATAATGAAAGAGCTGAACTTGTATTTTAAACTCTTTGGTGAATTTTGACATAATGTCATGAGTTCTCCTCTATTTTAAGAGTTTCCCCTAATACGGAAGAACATGGGCAGCCGCTGACCTCATGAAAGTTGCCATAACCCATCTTCAGCGCAGTTTAAGTTTTGAAAAGTTTGTAGAGCTTGATCGCTGTAAAAATAATCCCATCTTAAAGAAATCTTCCACTGACCATGGACCAGTGCGCGCGACCGGAAGTGGATTTGCGACGAAATGCATCGTAGGGATCCACGTGGGAACGTTGAATCGGAATCGCTCTTCTCACGTTCGTGAGGTTCGACACCGAGCGTACGCCTACCATGCAGTTTCTCACACAAAAAACTAGGTGTTTGCCGCGTTTTGCACGCCGCAATGGACATTGTGGCAACTATAGTTGCCACACCCTTTACATTCAGTTTTTTCTTGAACGCGCCATTTCTTCCCAGGTTTTTTGTGTTCATTTTTAGGCCATACCACAACATAACCAAGAACCACGCGGCTTATAGAATGACCAAATATTCTTTAGTTTGGCAGAGGTTTTTCGGACCGGACGAAAATATCCGTTCAGTTCATTCCTCATTTTCTCTTCATTAACACGAACATGTAGATAAAAAAGAATATTAGAAGTGAGTACAAAGCTACTCGTGTGGCAAGATATGTGTTTTTACCGAAACAACCACGTCCAAAATAATTTTGAAATCACTAAAGCAAAAGTAAGTGAACTTGCTTTCAATGCTGTAACACATCATTCGACCGCACTTTCACATGTGTACCTTCCAATAAGTTTGACACACCGAATATCAGTGAAAACATTTTGTCGCATCGAAGTATTGCGTATTTTAAAGCTCAAAATCCACAGATTTGTTGTGAGGCGGCGGCGCTCGCAGAACCGCTCTGGTCCCACGCGGCCAAAAATGCCAAAACGCGCGATGTCGTCAACGTGTTAAAAATCAACTAGAATCAGAAACAAACTTTCGAAATTGTGGTTCGGTCGCGGACTCCTAATAACTTTCACTGACTTCACAGGTACATCCGCTTAACTCTCACGCATCTACAAACCATATATGTTCAGGTTGTAAAGGACATCCTCAATGGTCTCGCTCACGAGAACTTCAATCTCAAACTTTTGGCTGATTGGAGGCAACGTCTGATATCTCACCACCACTCTTATCATACCCAAGCTTTCGTCACAATACTTTTAAACTACTCCTTCTAAGAACATTTATTGCGAATCTGAGTGAGGTGCATCGGTGTTTCTAAACTGTCGCCATACCATTAGGTCTATTTAAAGGCCAGAAAATGGTATCACCTTGCTCACAGCATACCGCATTCAACCCTTTGTAAAAGTTATAAGAAAATCTTTCAATACGAAGCTGAGGTAAGTGTTGGATAGAGCAGGAAAATCTCTTCAAAACGATATACGTACCGATGGCAGTTTCCTGAATTTCGATCAAATGACTTGCACTCCGCACAATATGGACGAATATGTCAGAAAACGACAGAACTTTCTGAAATACTACATATTAGGCTCACCATGACTTTTCGAGACCACTTTGGGCTTTTCGCATTCAATTACTTATGGTTATTTCCCTGATTTACTTTTTGGCTTTCCAACTATCTAGTATACTCATCATTTACTATCATACATATCCGCTTCTTTACGGGCTACTCAGGCTTCTTGGCATTGTCCCCCCCCCCCATTTTGGCACCTCTACTTTCATAACTCAGTGCGACAAATACCGTATTTGCTGCGTTCAAAAGCAATGAGTACTTTATTTGGGCGCTCAACGAACCAAGCTGAGAGCTACTGTATGTTTCATCTATATGCGACAGTGAAGAGAAAATCAAGAGAGACTGCCAAAAATCTAAGCAATGGAGTCTTGTTGGGGCATAAACTTTAACGCAATTGTGATAAGTCGCAATTTGGACGATTTTATCCCCTTAATCCGCATCATGCCGACAACAGCTATGCTCTGATTGGTATAGAATAGAGGCTACATCGACTCTCGGTCATCTATGATTGAGCCAAAGAAAGATCGAAAATGGCATAATGTACTGCTCACACTTACAATCCTTCAAAACGATTAGGCTGCAGAAGTTCTCGAGGCTAGTGAGGTTCATTGTTCGCTCTCTGATTCTGCGTCTTCTTTCTATGGTAATTCGTTGACGTAGCAGAATAAACAGTCTATCATAACAGTACACTCTGGCATAATAATCACTACCAAAGACCACTAAACAACTGCACATATCCATTGAGTCGCCATAGAGGCAAACCATTGAAGAAGAGGCGCCCGCTTGGATAAAATAATCATGAATTTCCAAAGTGGAAAGGGTACTAAGACGATAGCCTTGTCAGTGTCCAACGCGCTTTCTGTAAATCGTTCAGCCATTGGAGGCGTTAAGCCGACACGAATACGGACCAAAACGTGCGTGGAGAATCTAATTCTTTTTGAGTACGACTTCGGTCATTGGAAACCTCGCACATAGTGTGCTTTTACATAATATTTTCTTCACAATGAGTATGTTTGTCCTACACCAACACTCCTCTTATCGAACCCACAGCCTTCAATCAGTTGAAACATATTTTATCACCTGCCGCCACTCGCGCCTCCCATGTTCATGCCATGTTTATTGCCTTTTAAGAGCAACTTCTGTGGGACGAATTTAGTGACGCTGTCGCCTTGTATACGTTGAGAACATATTACTGCAAGGGTCTACACACTACACAAACCGCACAATGTAGTGCTGAATATTCTTTGAAAGGACACTAAGCCAGCCCACAGCTACACACACTTTCGCGATGTTCTCAAAAATGTGTCCGATTCGAGATCTCCATAGCTGCAGAAATTTTATCATGTATTCCAGATCAAATAAAATGTGTGACATACACTCACTAATGCTGCATTCTTGGTAAGTCGTCCTGTTAAGGGACGCCTAAAATGGCCCAAATATGGCCGACGACACTGGCGCACGAAACGCTGAAAGATCTATACCACGCTGACGAACATTTCCTCAGGTTTTTCCAGAGGAATCGTGCCATCATCGACCGCTCCTTCCTCTTCTTCATGGGTGATCATGGACCGCGAAGAGACGGTGTGAGATTTCTTCACTTTTCGCCTTCTGCACAGCTTCTATGAAATATCACCCTACTCACATCACTTTTTTCAATAGCTGACACGTGCGAACGAACTGACTTGGCTCTGGCTTGTCCAAAGCGGAAATCAGTGGGTGAAAATGAGTTCCACTACTTGGTCTTTAATCCTGGCCGTTTTCCTTGTTTTTCTTCATCACCTGAATCTTTGTTCACCTCCGCTTCGTTTATCTGTTGGAGTCTGCCTCAAATATCATAACCTGTTCCTACATGCCCAGAAATGCAGGACAACCCGGCGTACCGGGCGCCCCATACGGTCAACTGCGTGAGTCGTAAGCGAGCTATTTCATTGTGAATTTTAAAAATGACGGCACAACAGCAGTAATGACTGGAGGGGTTAACTTAGCACAACAAAGAACGATGATACTGTATAACACAGAGGCACAAATTTAATTTTACAAAAGTTCACAAAATTCAAAAATTCAAAAAATTCAAAAGTTCCAAAAAAGCAAGAAACAGTTTGAAAAAGAATTCCTTTGAAATCTTCCGCGATATTTCGGTGTATAACACCTTCTTCAGGCATGTGTTTGCCACAGCCAATATAAAGCTGCCCTCACGGGAGCCGCGCCGTTGGAGTGAAAAGAAAATTTCTTGAAATTTGAAATTTGAAAAAAAATTAAAAAGAAGATTTTCTCTTCACTCCAACGGCGCGGCTCCCGTAAGGGCAGCTTTATACTTGGCTGTGGCAAACACATGCCTGAAGAAGGTGTTAAACACCGAAATATCGCGGAAGATTTCAAAGGAATTCTTTTTCAAACTTTTCTTGCTTTTTTGGAACTTTTGATTTTTTGGAATTTTGAATTTTGTGAACTTTTGGAATTCTTTTGAAATAAAATTTTGGTGCCTCTCTGTGTTATACAATATTTAGGTGCTGATGAGGCTCCGGGACAGCACAATATTAAGAACGAATAACACATTGGAGTGGCCGTGCCTCGTCAGGTTCACCACCCCCTTAACCATGGGGTCCACGCTACGTGTGATTAGTTCATTTGGAACAAAAACATGCAAAAGCCTGAAATCCATTATCCATATTTGAAAGAAAGCGACTCTAGCTTGGACCTTCCTTTGATTTGGTTTCAGCGTCACCATATTTCTGTTCAGATAGGCAATCTCAGGCTCGGTCAGTATGAAAACCTCAATCCTTTCCTTATGGTAACTATCCCTTCTGCTTACCGTAATACTTCACTGCACCGACATCTGAGGCAGAAGACGCTGGAGCTGATGACAAATTTCGATATTCACGCGACGCTTATGGATATATTGAAGGTTTGTGAGCAATTTCGATATGCTAACAAGGAGTGTCAACAGATCATCCTGAAAGAGCGATTGCCTAGATTATTTGTTGAACGATTATCTCGAACGCACTTATAAAATTTTTTGCCCCTTCTATCTTTCTCGAATTCCATATCGACCTTCACGCTTAACTTTGATGTGTGGCATTTTGCAAGATCAACTCGCCATCAATTGCGTCAGGCTCGCGCCAGCATTTCCAATTTCAATAGGCATCTGGAAGTCTATTTTAAAGTCACTACCATAGCAACAGCTCACTCCTTTATTGATGATTAGAGGAATCCTTCCCTGAAAAATCTTGCATTCTTTCCCAACTGCATATGTCAGTTGTGATCACTGGAGACAACATGCAAAGTTTCACGCACAAAGATTCAGTTTCCGAAGAGAAACAAACTACAAAAACTACACTCTATGGACAATGAAGGTAAGTGG